AATTATCTTCTCTACAATCATTTTTTTCAGTACTGTATTAGGTTAGATGTACTTATTAAATTGGATAGACTATGCATTCATTAAATACTTATAATCATTCTTCACAACTTTTCAAACCAACCATTTACCACCAACCAAAAACTTAAGCAAATCATAATACCAAGAATTACTTCTGGCAATACTCCCCTCTCTACCAACTTTCATTAACAGTAAAAACAGTCACCTTCAAGTGACTAACTCAACACCTATTTGTTGAGCTCTACTGGTATTAGCTAGATGCAGAGGGACAATGGTGCACAAAGGAAGAAATGATTCCAGTTCTCACTTCCTGGAATGTAAAGTTACCAAGCAAACATACTCACTAAGTATAAGAAATATAGACTAGTGACAGTATTCCAAAAGGCACTGAACAAAATCCAGGCAAAAATTACCCTATAACAACAGTAGTAATAAACAGACCTGTCCCTAACCAAATCACATAATATATACAATTATCTTATCCTTTTGAGATGGAAGCAATTACCTACATTTTACAGATGAGAAAACTCAAGTGTAAACAATAAATGAGCTGTCACTTAATCAAGATGATCACACACCTTCTGAGTGTGTGTTCCTATCAGTTATAGTATGTTGCCTATCCTCAAACAGAATCAGCATATACAGTGGCAGGCAGCCTACATCCCAGAAACCTGAACAAGAAGTGACAGGAATCAACATTAGTCAGCTTCTCAAGTAAAGCAAAATTCAGATCTTCACTTACCATTCACCCTTGTTTCTTACATTAAGAAGTCTGGCCTGGCTACTGTGGAAATGGCCAAAAGGTCAGTCCCCATCAATGCTTTACCCCTTTCTCAATATAAACTGAAAAGTTCAGATAAGTAGGGCATTAACTTTTCTCAATCTTAACTGTCTGTTGGAAAAAGATTGTTGTTCCACACATGATCCCCAACTTAAAGATCAAAGAACACAGCAAATACCAATCCAATCCCTGCAACTATGGAAGACAAGGGAGATGCTGTCGTTTTTGTAGCATTTGTCACCAGCTATTTGTCCTCCATGCCACAGCCTGTTTTCTTTCTTTAAAGGGTGCCCAACACTAAAGGGCAGACAGCATGGCCACTTCAATTGGAGAATAAATCATATGCATTTTATGAAATAAAAGGTTATTATTTTTTAAAAGGGGGAGGGGGGATACAAATGTGTTTCTAGTACCAGACAAAATGTTATAGTCCCTTGAAGTAGCCTATATTAATTTAAGAAAATAGCCTATATAAGAAAGTAGCCTATATTATTTAAGAAAAGGAAAAAACTGTCCTCGGAACATTGAATTTTATGTGATTGCCAGTTTTGTAATATAAAATAAAAATTTAGCTATGGAAAATAAAGTTCTATAAATCTGTGTAAGCCAGTTGTCTATAGCTAATATTATATTTATTATATAGTCAACCTTCCAAAATTTGTAAGTTCCACATCCATTCACAGACTCAACTAACTATGGATTGAAAATAATAGGAGAAAACTAGAAATTCAAAATTTTTCTTATCATTATTCTCTAAATAATCATATAGTAATTATTTATATAGCATTTATAGTGTACTAAGTATTATAAGTAATCCAGAGATGGTGTATCCAGAGATGGTATATAGACATTTCTTGGCCTGGTAAACTGTTATACAAGTGAAAAAAAAAGGCACAATAAATTATAAATAAATCTATTTTAAAACAAATCTTTAATATATATAATTTTACTATTTATTAAAGGTGAAAGAAATTTAATAAAAAATGGATATGCTTTATTTTTACTTAAAGAATTAAATATTGATATTCCATAATGCAGAGTTGATTTATATTTTAGCTTTATAATTGTCAATGCTGAGACTGATAAGCTTTTCACCAGAGTGCTAAGAACATGAATTCAGGTTTGCATGCCTGAGCAGCAAATACTCTTACCTACTGAGCCATCTTAAGAGACAACAATTGTCACCAGAATATTACTGATTTTCTGAATCTCCTCATCAGTGCTCTTTACTGAAATTCAAGTATTGGCTTCTTAGAGTCCATTCTATGAACATCTTGAAATATTACAATGAATAGTATATTTTCCTTGCAATAAATCATTAATGGTCATCAGATGCCCAAGAATAAATGACTGCAAAACGGGCTGGAGAGATGGCACGAGCTGTTAAGAGCACTTGATGCTCTTCCAGAAGACCCCAGTCTGATTCCCAGTACCCACACAATGGTGCACAACCATGTCTCCAGTTCCAAGGGACCCAATGCCTTCCTCTACCTCTGCAGACACTAGGCACTCATGTGGTACATACATACATACATGAATCCAAGCAAAACACTCATACACATAAAATAAAATAATCTAAAAAAATTAAATAACTGCAAAACAACTTCCTCTACTTGGCTATAAAAGTTATATAATAGAAAAATCTATATTCAATAATTAAAATAGTTTTGACGAAACACCTCAAATTGTGTGTGAATTCATAGCAAGAAAGGACAGAAAGAATAAAACGTAAGCTTGATTAACAGGCACACCTCTCTTTTAGACAAAAGATCTCATAGAAGAAATGCCTGATTCCATGAATGCTTAAGTCTCTTCTATTTTTCAGAAGACGTCTTTTTGACAATGTTTTACATATATCTTTCTGCCAAATGATATAGAAAAAAAGTTGTTGATGGAATAAGAGTTCTGTGCCCAGGTAGTCTTTCCTATGATTAGTAGTAATACCAAAGAATCCAAAAGTATAAATATACAGTAACTAAAGAAAAAGAAAATAACTTGTTAGAATAAAATCAAATCATTGAAGTTGTAGGATACAGTACTTAAAAGCAATACTGGAAAGAAACTACAAAAATTAAACATGCATAATTAGGGGTTCTGGCATATGACATAAACATCTATGATTAAAGGTATTCATTGTTTTTACATCCTCCATTGGGCCCTGCACATGCCAATCATCTCATTAACTATAGGAAAACAAACAAACAAGAAAAACAGTATTCTCATCAATCAATAATGACCATAACCAGAGATGAGGAAAGATTGGGAGGAATTTACCTTTGTCCAAAATAGGATAAGCATTAGGATCTAAAGAAAGGTTAAGGAATAAACAAAGTCAAGGTTTCTTTGAGTAAATATCCCACAAAAACTCCTGGCTGGCTTTTATACATATACATATACATATACATATACATACAAATACATTATAAACTTTAAAAAAAAAATTACACACATGCAAGGAATACCAAGAATATCCCCCAGATATTTACTCAGGCCTTATCAGGTACTAGGTTGCAGCAACTCTCACAATCTATGAGGTACATACTATTAGGAGAGATTATGTAACTCATCCAAAGTAACATAGATAATGAAGATGGAAACTGGAATTCCAAGTATGGTCACCTAATTATTATGCTAAGATGCTTCCCCTTTTCAGTTTACTTCTAATTCTGAAAGCCGAAGAAATACAGACTATCAACTGGGGAGAGGATGGGGAAATGGCACTACATGCTAATTCTCACTAACCAGCAATGTGGAGGAAGGCAGACTGGTAATAACCAGAGTCTCATCAATAGAGGCAAAAAATGCTGAGGAACTAAACCTAGAGATACAAAGGAAAGAACAAAAAGCTAAAATTTGTACACATAGATGCAATATTGTAAATATAGGAAGAGATGAAGGAAGACACTTCTTAGGCTAGTGGCTTGGCCACTAGTTAGTAATTACTGTCCATTGGAGGAAGACAAAAAGGGGAACTGGTGATTTAGTTTCATTTAAAGGGTAGGAAGAAGTATTACCTACTTAATGAGAAATACAAATTTTATACAACTCAGCCCACCAGGTAAGCTTTCCACATTAGAAAAGCCATAGCTTTAAAAAAATGATCCCTCCATGTTTCTTCAATACACACTCATTTTACACATTAGGCACCGAGTGGCAACATTCCATAGAATTAGGACTAGAAACCAGCTCTAGTCTAGGTCTAGAATGTCAAGGAAATGAATCACAAGAATGCAGACAGAACCTTGCAGACTTGTAAGCCCTTACTAAATATTACGTGATTGTGCTTTACCTCAATATTTTTGTATGTATAAATTTTGACATAAAATTTCATTCCAAATACTGCTCCTAATTCTCTACCCTCCCAACTCTACCAAACGTGAATTCATATAATTAAACAAGCACTTGTAACCACTTAGTATTCTTTAACATACATTAAATATGCAAGCATAAATATTGAAAGAATTGACAAAATTGACTGCATATATCTTTCTTAAAATTCCGATTTCTCATTTAACAAACTTTCCCATGGTAGCAAGAGTTTGTACTCAACTCCCTGCAACATATTTTTATGTTTTAAGTCCTAAGTAGATCCTTTCCCAAAAAATCTTTTTATACTTAGGACTGAAGAAATGACATTTTTTTGCTTAGTTTCCCACCACAGAAAACCAAGGTGGCACTGACTAAGGTCCATACTGTGAATTCAGGCCAATGAAAATAAGCTTTCCTATGCTGCTGTCAAAATCATCTCAACTTAAGTATCGCTAGAGATCAGGCCGAAGTTACTCCTTCGGGTGCACAGATCATCAGCTTCCTCTCAGTCAGTAGACCACACTCTTCTGCAGCCCAGAGGAGGAGGAAGGATCAGAAAGGCGCCTCCCACTTCTACTTCCAGCATCCCTGTAGGCTACTCGGGAAACTGAGCCAGATGATGATTTTTAAGAACTTCCTATCCATTTGTCTAAGTTGCTTTGGACAAAATCTGAGCCCAGAAGATTCTGTCAAGTGACACAGAATGGAGAACTCTGGGATACTATAATTTCTTACATTTACTGTCCCATATCTGGTTGCTCCTGAATCAATAACAAAATCTACCAGAGGGGCAAAGGAGGAGTCACTAGGAAACCTAGCTTTTCAAAGAACCTAGCTCTCCTAGAAAAGGCCGAAATCCCAGCGCCCCGGTCCAAGCCCAGCTAAAACTCACCCAGCTGCCGCTCGCGGCCTGAGAGCTCCCGCGCTTCTCAGGCATGGCTGACGCCTTGGGTGAGGCCACCGCCTTCCACCCCGGCTCCTCCGAAGACTCCCCGTCCGTGCTCATGCCGCCGTCATGCCCGGGCAGGTTTGGGTAGCTCCAAGACACCTGCAACGCCGCAAGTGCGGCGGCGGGGCCCGCGCCTTCATGGGCTCCGCGGTCCGCGGCGGCCTGCCACTCAGGCGGCGGCGCCAGGGGCGACGCCGGCTGCTGAGGGGACGCCGAGGCTGGAGCCGTGCAGGAAGCGAACAAAACCCTTGACGATACAAGGTCCGTGAACACAGGACCCCGACACTGGCACTAAGCAGTTATCAGTGACACCAGAACGATCTGGGGACAGCGACCAGCCCAAAACACTAAGCAAAGGCGGCTCCCGCCTAGAACGCCCACCCCTCTCAAGTAGCTCAACCAAGCTCCGCCCCAGTCTGCGTAGCGCATCAAAAACGCGTCATCTCTTAGGGACTCCAGGCCTATCGAGACTGAAAGGACCCAAGGCTCTCCTGATTACGCTAGTCTGGCCAGTGAGTCCTAGGGATCGCCTGTTTCCTCTTACCCAGGGCAATGATACCAAGAGCGCGTCAACACACCGTTCTTTTTATGTGGGTCTTAGGGATCTGACTTGGGTCCTCAGGCACCTTAGAAAACTGATTCCCCCCCCCCCCCCCCAAGTAAGTTAGATAATTGATAATAGTTGTAAAAATGGACAACCTGACCCTGGATCTGGAATTCTGAAATGGGGAAGTGGTATACAATAAAGAGGATTTCAGAAGCCTCCAACCTTGCACTGATTAACGGAAAATTCCACAGGGTATATTGTTCAGTGGTAGAGCACTTGCCAGGTATTCACTTGGCTCTAGGTTCAATCCCCAGTAAAACACACACACGCCAAAACAAACAAACTGGGACTTTCCCTGTATATAGCCCAGGCTGACTTTAAATATATGATGATGATTCTGCCTCAGTCTCCCCATGTACTAGATGTAGGTTTGAGTCACCACACAGGACATTGTTCTCGACTGCTAAATATAACTGGAGATGATATGTTAAACAAGCCAGGTACATTTTTGTAAATTATACTGTTATCCGAGTACATGCCATTTTTGTAAATTATATTGTTAATCTCACAGATGTGAGGAGAAAGACCACCAACCCAAATTATGGCCAAATTAAAGAAAGGTTTACTGGAGCACACATCAGAGCCAAATCAGCAGCTGTCTCTCCCTAAGGTGGGGTTCATGATACCAGTCCCAAGCCAATTTCTCAAGCCCTTTATATAGGGCAAAACCATAGGGTAGGGAATTTTTCATATAAGCGTGGTTACAATGTGAGACCAGGCATTTAAGGGAAGTGAGTTATAGATCAAAGGGTACAGAACACTTCCAAAAACAGGTAGCTCTCCATAGGGGTTGGTTTAGAGTGCATTCTATGGTTACTGGGGTAGGGTATAGTCAAGCTCAGAGAAACAGAAACTCAGGTTTTATAGTAAACAGAAACTTAGCTTGGCTACAGACTTAAAATGGTTCCTAGGAACAAAATGGAGATGGGCTGGTGTCTCAATCTCCTTTTATTGAGCCAAAGTTTTCCTGCCTATTTCACACGTTTGTTAATTCTGATTCTGCCCTCCATACCAAGACAAAAACATCTAATACCATTTGTTTAAAATGCCAGTCTGGACCTCTCATCTTTCAGATATTCCTTTATTAAATTCCAGTCTGTGAAAATCCCAATTAAAATGCAATGTTTTAAAATGTAACCTTGAAGACTGGAGAGATAGCAATAAGAGCACATGCTGCTCTTGCAGAAGACAGAGGTTCTGTTCCCAGAACCCACATGTGGCAACACACAACTGTCTGTAACTCCAGTTTCAGGAGTTCAACACACTCTCTAGGCTCAACATGTACACCGCACACACACACACACACACACACACACACACACACACACACACACAAACACCACCACACACACACACAGAGGAAAAACACTTATACACATAAAAATATATAACCATGTCTGATGCCTTGATGTGGAGAATTAGGGTATGGGACTCTCTATAGAGAGAGTTCCAGGACAGCCAGAGCTACACAGAGAAACCCTGTCTTGAAAAAAACCAAAAGGGGCGGGGGGGCGGGGGACAGCGCTGGCTGCTCTCCAAAGGTCCTGAGTTCAATCCCAGCAACAGCATGGTGGCTCACGACCATAATAATGAGATCTGGTGTCCTCTTCTGGCATGCAGATAGACATGCAGGCAGAAAACTATATATATAATAAATAAATAAATCTTTTAAAAGAGAGATTGCTCATTGCACGATATTTAAGCCATAGGAATTGATTGTGTACTAATTCAAATGGACACCACGGATTCTACATAATTTAGCATCTTATAGATTTAGAAAAATAATGGTTCTTACTACCAGATATTATGTTTGATCCAGGAGTGGTTTGTATTGACTCATAGCTTAAATTCATATTAATGAAAAGACACACAAGAAAAAAATCTATCTCCTGGTGGAAAATAACTTTGGGTTAAAAAGGGAAATGAAAATTATTTCTTTTTACTAGATTTCCATGATTCTTATATGATTCTCCAGACAGAGAGAGAGAGAGAGAGAGAGAGAGAGAGAGAGAGAGAGAGAGAGAGAGAGATCATTGTTTCCCAAATTTGCTTGTATATACCACTTTTATTCTCAGAACACTGATTAATATCTTACAGAATGTGTAGAACATGTTATGAAACGTAATGATTACATTTATTTTTAAAGATAGGTGTGAAGTCATAGAAAGATACTTTTTTAAAATGATAGCATAAAGGTGTTCAGGAGATTCCCAGTGAATGAATTAGCATTTTATAGGAAAAGATAGGTTGGGCTTGATGATAAATGGCTTTAATTCCAGTACTCTGGAGGCAGAGGCAGGTCAAGACCATCCTGGTCAATTTAGGGAGTTCCAGGACAGCCAGGGCTACATACTAAGACCCGATCTCAAAGAAAGGAAAGATAGAAGGTTGAATTTCCCAGGTAAACAAAGAGTTAATTCTCTAATGTGTATAAACCATGTAAAAAGCTAGGAATTCTTTGCTATCATCCTAGTTTATCATATTGGAAATATATGCACCTGCTAATTGCTGTCCCTGCATTATTTACAATAGTAGTGATACTATCTCTTTGCCCAAAGTAGGAACTGTTGTTAATATAGGTCAACCCCTCCTTATCCTATCCTCCCACTCATGATTACTTATCAAATCTTGCATATATCTCACTCACCTCCTACCCTTTTTTTCCCACGCCTACTATATACAAGCAACCATAGTGTCCTATTTATCACAAATCACTCTGTGCTTGCTCCTCACTACAGCATTTCCTTAATTCATGGCCTTATTACTTGTGTATGTAGTGTCTTTATCTTTTAGATCCATTTCCACATAAGCATACATTCTCCAGACAAAACAGGTCTTCCTAAAACACAAAGGTATCTTATTGTGTCACATCTATGCTTTCATGCAGTATAGGACTGCTCATTATTATGACCTGTGCAGCTTAGGATCTGACTTCTTCCTGCTTCTCAGCCTCATTTGACACCATCTATACCCATGTCTTATTGTTCCCTTGCCCAAATCCTCCTTTTCTCTGTCCTCTCCAGCCTGGTTACAACTCCTGTTACATCAACACTCAGCTCAGGTATCTTTTCCACCAGATCTTTCCATGATGGCCCTCAATATCGCCTTTCATTTGCTTGCATCCTCTGTGCACTTTGTGTAAGATTTTTCTTTAACATTTACAGAATTACATTTTGGTAGAAAAATGCACACAAAAATACTGAGCATATGCCTACACTAAATTTATTTCACTAATAAAGGAACCCAGGCCAGGTTTAGTCTTATAGTCCTAGCACTGTAGAGACATGCAGATCTCTGTGAATTCGAGGCCAGCCTGGTCTACATAGTGAGTTCCAGGACAGCCAGAACTACATAGTGAGACCCAGTCTCAACAGAAACAAAAAAAAAAATGAACAAAACAAAAACCGAAAGAACTCATAAAAATGGCTTAAAGAGAGAATTTGGAAAGCTAAGATTGTTAAAGTTAGTGCAAACATGATAGAATAGCATATTGCGTAATTGAATTGAATTGAATCTGTGATGATGTAGATTGAACACACAGGTAACTGCATGTTAGGTAGGTACTCTACCACTGAGCTGTACCTCCAGCCCAAGATTTGAATTCTAAGAAATGGCTGCCATATTAGATACAGCCCTAGTTAATTAAACTGTAGAATTTATCATGTAAGTTTTCACCCCAGAAAAGACAATCAACTAACTCATCATTTCTGCCTAACTTCAAACTTTTTATGGATGCTAAATACCAAGGCCTAATGAATAATATAGTGCCAAAGATAAATAGTCATAACGACTTTCTAAAGATGTTTAGATGGCTTGTTGGAAAATTATCTTCTAATGTGACACTAATTGAAATGACATCTTTCTTTTATTCCTAAATTTGTAATTTATCTTAGCACTGTGTTTTTTTTCTTTTTCTTCCCTTTTTTGAAATAGACTACTATATATCACAGGTTGACTTGAAACTCATGAATCCTCTTGCTTCATCCTTCCAAGTGCTGGGTTTACAAGTATGTGCCACAACAGTCAGCTGTTGTGTGATATTTTGATCACATTCTAAAAATAAAACTTGTTTTAAATCAGAGGGCAGAGCCACTAGCTGACCAAAATTAACCATAGAGATTTTGGAGGACTGAGGACAGATAGAGAGACAGGAAGTAGTAAGGCAGGGCTTAGAGAGGATCTTAGCCTTTTGGATGGAGGAATAGAAGAGATAAGAAGTCACTAGTCACTTCTCACCGCATCGCTGATCATTTGGGTTCTTATCCCGTTATTTGACTCCTGATTTATTATTGATAAAGAATAATTAGATAAACACATGAGCCAGCAGCAGAACGATACTTTTTAACTCATTTAATTCTAGCCCACACTATGAACTCAGGGAACCTACAGCTTTGGTGTTCAGTCTAGAGTATGTATTTTCCTGGGGATATGTAAATAGTTTCTCAGAGTTCACATGGCCCCAAATAGTCTGCAAATGACCAATTACTAAGCCTTTTGCCCTAGAGCAGTGGTCTCGACCTTCCTAATGCTGAGACCCTTTAATACAGTTCCTCATATTGTGGTGACCCCCAACCATAAAATTATTTTGTTTCTACTTCATAACTATAATTTGCTACTGTTATGAATCATAATGTAAATATCTAATATGCAGGATATTTGATATGTGGCACAAAGGAGTTGCAACCCATAGGTTGAAAAACACTGCGCTAGAGTGTACTCTTTCCTATAGTCAACCTGCCCCCGCAAAGGTGTCCTTTTTCTAAAAGTTCTTCTTTTAGAACACCTCAATGACTCTTTTGCCACTTC